GGGGGGGTGGCGGGGCATCCGGGCTTTACCACCCGCTAGCTGAGGAACCCCATGGGTGCTGCTTTTTCCACTCTCTAATGTTAACACACACCTCCTGGGGCAGGTGGAGGGACTAAAGGAGATAATGCGCGGTGAGATGCATCACGGGCTGACCCCAGAGCTCTCCCCCAGGAGCCTTAACGCCACCCTCTGGGGGAGGCACTGCCCTCCCCAGCTTTTCATTTCCACGAGGCTTACGCTGGGGAGAGGACTCCCAACATTCAGCCTTCAGTGGGGATGGACCTCTGCTGGTATAGACCAGGGCACCCAGATCTCAAAGCTCAACCGATAGCACCGATATGCTGCAGCCCCTTGAGTTGCCATGAGCCAACCAACACCCGCTCTATCCCCCCTTCATAATAAGAGTTACCAGCCACATCCCAAGCTGTCCACTAGGGCCCTCATCTCCCCTCTGTCTCATTGCACAGGCCTCCTTTGCCTTCCACCAAGCTCAGTCTGACCTCAGGGCCTTTGCACTTGCTGTTGATGTCTGCTTAAGACACTCTGTCCCTGATCTGGTCATGGCTGGCTCTGTCCTGTCATTCAAACCTCCACCCCAAAGTCCCTGATCACTTCTGTCCTTTGTAAAATTGATCTCTGATCCCTCTGAGCCCCTGAAGGCATCTTGCTCCCCCGTTTCTCTATTTAGTATCTGTCCCCCGCCAAACTTCTGAACTGTGAGCTCTTTGGAGGAGGACCTGTATCCTCTTTCCCCCTGAATCCTCTGCCTGAGTCAGGATTCAAACCCGGGTCGATGGGGCTCAGCACACATGCTCTTAACCGATGTCACCTCCACCCCACCTCACAATCCTTTCCCCAGGTGGCCCCCTCTCTTGATGTCCCAGCCCCCACCCTGTCTCCCTGCCACCCCCAACCAGCTCAGCACGTCGCTAATCCACAAATACCACAGGGTTTCAGAGCAGGGGATGTTGGCCACCAGGAGCCAACCTGAGCCTTATCTGCTGGATGAATCCTTCCCTGTGCCTCAGTTTCCTCTCTGGACTCCTTCTCTTAACTCCCTCTGTGTGGGTGCTCCAGTGCCTCCATTTCCCTATCTGGCCTCTATCCCTGAACACCTCAGATTGGGTGGTGGCCTGTGTCCCGGCATTCTTTTCTGGGTTCTACTTCCGAACCCCCTTCCGAGCAGCGCCCCAGGCCTCAGTCTCCCCTTCTGAATCTATCTCAAAGCCACTGGGTTCGAGCCTCAGTTTCCCGACCTGGTTCTACCGCCCTGGATGCCTGTGGCTGGGTTAACCCCTGTATCTCAGTTCTCTCCCTGGGTTCTCTATCCTCGAGCTTCTTTTAAGTGGAGTCCCCTTCCTCAGTTTCCCCAACCGCAGACTCGGAGGAAGATTGGCTGGGATCCCAGGAGCAAAGAGCCGGGAGACATGCCCCCTTCTGTCAACCAGACATGACCCTGGGGCCCCTCCTGGGAGCCAGGCTTGCGCACGTCAGCTCCACAGCTCTGACGCACAAGGGCCTTATCAGGCTCCCATCAGGTAGGAGGCGGCAGTGGCAGGAGGCTGCCCCTCGACCCTCAATCTCTCCAGACCCTTGGCCTCTCCCGTGGCCCCTGCCCCGACCCAAGTGTGGGAAAGAAGTCCTCTCAGCCATTGCCTGCCCAGTTTGGTTTATACGTGGGAGCGGTCAGGGCTCAGATCCCAGCTGTGTGACCTTGGGCAAGAGACTTTGCCTCTCTGGACCTCAGTTTCCTCATTTATAAATGGAATTGCTAACAGGACCTACAGAAAATGTTAAGTGCAGGACCTGGCCCGGAGGAAGCCTTATAGTTGCTATCACTAATAATGGTAACACCCAAGGGCGCCTCGAGGCTCAGTCCGTTGGGCGGTTGAGCGTCCGATTTCGGCTCAGGTCACGATCTCGTGGTTCGTGGGTTCGAGCCCCGCGTCGGGATCTGTGCTGACAGCTCGGAGACGGGAGCCCGCTTCGGATTCTATGTCTCCCTCTCCCTCTGCCCCTCCCCCACTTGTGCTCGCTGTCTCTCTCTCAAAAATAAGTAAACTTAAAAAAAATAATAGTAGGGGCGTCTGGGTGGCTCAGTCGGTTGGGCGGCCGACTTCGGCTCAGGTCATGATCTCGCGGTCCGTGGGTTCGAGCCCCGCGTCGGGCTCTGTGCT